GGGCGCCCACGAATGCCCCGGCGGGTGCCATGGCACCCGTGGGCACCGCGTTGAGGACCACGGTGGTAGGAGAACTCCTGGTAAGGGCCTAGAGCTCAGGCTAATGGAGTCCGGTGTCTTCTGGCTACAGCCGCTCAGCTCAAAGAGCACAACGCACGAAGCATTCAAAGCAAACGGCTCTGTTGCACCGGGCCCACATTCCAGTGTCGGTCTGGCCGTAGGGGTCATTCGTGCAGGTCAGACTGATGTCAGTGAGCCTTAAAAACTACAACTTTTAACCACGGTTACAACAGGCAACCCAACTCCCTCCTCACTTCCGAGCTGACAGCAGTAAGAATGCTTTTTCTAGCAGAATAATAAGGGAGGATGATTCATGGCAAAGACTGAGCGGGGAAAGTCCAAACGCCTGCTCCGTTGAAAACAAACCCTTTTCATTGATGTCCATGTCATGCATTGTAAGAGTAAAACTACATTGGAGCATGCTCTAACGGCCAGACGTAGGGAATCGTATCCAGAGACCTTCGAAGAGATGTCCTGCTGTACCGAACCTGCAGTAATGCACATAGCATGTCCTGCAGCTGTGTGATACTGAACTCGGGCTCCAGAAAGGACCAGGAAATACAATGAGTGGTGTCAGTTGGTTTCCCCTCTCACATCAATGCACAGGAAACAACCCAACCAGATACACAGCCTGCCTGAGTGCACTGAAATACCAAGGCAAAGCCATCTGAGGCACACCCCTGGAGAGCTCCACTTGGCCAAGTATCACTGCTGAGGACCCGGTAAATATGGCCCTGCTCCTCTTTTTGCTGAGTCAGCATTTGTGTTGCTATTGCTCTGATGAGAGCAGTAAGTCAGACACCTGGGAAGCTGCACTGGAAACCAGTATCCAGTGGGAACTTTCATCGGCCAGATTCCCACTTTCACAATCCTCGCCGGATACTAACACTCAGTGACAGATGAGTCACTTGTTTTTCAGCCTTTCCCAAACAGCCACAGCTTTGGATTTGCACTGGCCTTTCCCCTTTCTTGGCTCCCAAACACAGTCCAGCTTCTCCCCTGCACTGAATCTAGCAGTTGGGCTGTCAAAATTTGCAATAATTATTTTAGGCAGGCATATGGCCAACTGCAGGTGAGGCAGTGGCATTACATGGAAATGCCAATCATGCTTCCATGAAAAGCAGAAGATGCTTTGAGCAACCTGAACAGTTAAAAAAAAAAAAACACTTTTCCTCTAACATTTCAGCCAACATTTGGGCAATGAAAGCTGATCCATATCAACCCTGTAGCAAACCGCTTCCAGCTAACCCGCTGCAACTAAGCGGGAACTCAATTTCCCCTGAATCAGATGGCTTCTCTGCATGCAGGGTTTCACCAGTTTAACTTAATATGAAATTTTAAATCAGTTTAGTTACACAGATGCAAAGGGCTCTGTGGACATCACTGTTTCAGATTTAGACCAAGCTTATTTTGGTTTACCCAGTCAAATAAGGAATAGCATTACGGAGGACTTAAACTGAAGTGCGGGTTTATATGCAGACAAGACCCAGCTCTCCTTAAATGAACTCTAAAGTCCACATGGATTATAAAGATAATATTAAGCAGTTTCTCTTCCCAATTAAAAAACTCTAAAATTAAACTCAAGAACTATCTAATGCAGCACTATGAATGTGAATTCAAATGCGCATGTGTTCTTACATAAGGCTACAACGATAAGGCAAATAAACCATCCGAATAGGCCAAGTACTGCACGATGCAACTCCCAATGTTGTGAGGCTGTAAGCGTTTTGGGAAGACTACTGGCTTCCCCACTTCTCTTGATGACTGGCTGTTGGAGAAAGGGGAGGAGCTATTTCCTTAGGTGCGCAGGAAGAAGGAAGAATGGATATATGCATGATGCATCCTTGAAGGTACATCAGAAAAATTAACAATGACACCTCCTTCCAGATTACACCCAAACTAACCTGGGCCCCTAAAACCAATCACGTCGTCCATTTCCTTAGTGACAAGCTGGAGTGTTGATAACCCTTTATTAAAGAGAGAACCCTGATCAACAACCACCAGGCTTTGATCCAACCCAAAGCCCAGGCAGGATTCACTTCTGAAGACCTCTCGCTGCTGGTAGAAAGCTGACCCGAGAGGCTGGTAGCTGTCTGCTCCTCGCGCCCTGTTCTGTGGAATACTTAACACGTGGCATTTGAGGACATTTTGAATGAACAATATTGCGGCCTTGTTCGGAAGTTTTACTGGAGCGTCATGTGGCCAGCAGCTTGATCAATGCCAAATCCCGTCACTAACACCCTACTCCACAGTGCTGTGGCCTGGGACCATGCAGAGCAGGCAGTCCAGTCTGGTCTTTACAAACGGGGCTGCGTTAGCAGCAGGCTCCCAGAAAGACCCTGCTAGCTGTCCACTCCGTTAAGAGAAGGGAGAACAATCCAGATCTGCTCTCCTGGTTTCAAGTAGTCAGGACTGGTTATTGGAGGCAAATGGAGGTGAGCAGCAAGAAAGGCTGCACTTGTCTCTGGTGTTACTGTTGTCACTGATTAGGAAGGTTCTGAAGACATACCTCGGCAAAAATCAACCACATTGAAAACAGTGTGCATAAGAGTCACACTTCATGCTTCAATTCAAAGTGACAAAGGCTGAGAACATTACCCTAAGCCCTTGAAGATATCTGACCATTTACTTTTTACACCACTCGGACCTTAACAAATATAAACTCAGGAAAGGAAAAAACAAACCTTTTAAAAGTTTATTTCTAGCCCTGAAAGAACAAAGTTAATAAATGAAGTAATCAAATACAGTAGTTAATATTGCAGAAACAATTAAATAACAGAATGAGATTAAATTAAACCAAGGCAACATTACAATCTGGGTACAGTAATCAAAAGTGAAGCTTGCCCCTACGTCCATTTCCATCTGGCCAAGCGAAGGAGAGAGAGAAAGCAGACCAGAGAGATGGTTCAATTCCAGCTACCAAGACCTGCAGCAGTGTCCTTGAGCTGCCCATCCTTCCCTGACAAGCTCCGCACTGCTCCTCGGCACAGAGTGAACACTCAGGTGGGACTCAGCATGTCTGCTTGGTGAGAAGTCGGGTTTATTCCATGTTTTATTCAAAAATCCTGGGCATCGAACATTGCCTGCTCACTTGCTTTCAAAGGAGTATGCTGCCCCTCTACTCCCACGTCCACCTCCCACGTGGCGTGTCTGCAGTATTCAGTCGTACGCATTTCTGTGATAGTGCCCGTCACCTGAGGACTGCAAGAGATCTGGGAATCCTGGCATGTTCCCAAGCCATACTTTGCTTCCATCACCCACCTGAACGCTAGTCTCTCCTCACTGTACTAAAAACAGGACTATGCAGCACTTTAAAGACTAACAAGATGGTTTATTATGTGATGAGCTTTCATGGGCCAGACCCACTTCCTCAGATCAAATTGTGGAAGAAAACTGTCACAACCATATATACCAAAGGATATGACAATATGGTTGTGACAATTTTCTTCCACTATTTGATCTGAGGAAGTGGGTCTGGCCCATGAAAGCTCATCACCTAATAAACCATCTTGTTAGTCTTTAAAGTGCTACACAGTCCTGGCTTTTGTTTCAGCTACGCCAGACTAACACGGCTACATTTCTATCACTCACTGTACTAGTTATTCAACTGGGCTGGGCAGAACAAATGAACTATTCTCAGTTCTAACCTGATCCCACATGGGAGAAACGGGCACTTGGAAGACATATGCAACATGCTGCGTGTCCGGTGAGGAGATAGGTGGCCATCCTAGAGACATGCAGAATGCGCAAATGTTACCCAACGAAGAACATCACAACAACTTCCCTATTACTTTTCTTTGTCAGCTTCTGTCGCCACTTAACTCTTTGCCCTGCCTTTGCTGCAGAAATTAAATATTCCTACTAATCCTACTCTTCCTGGACCTCTCTCTCTGTCCCAAATGCCTTCTGGCAAGAGGAGCAAAAGGAACCTTACTGCAGAGTCACATACATCCCTGTGCACTCTCTCACTGTAGCTTAGTCCTCTAGGCCACAGGAGAAGCACTAGGATGTATTTTGGGAACTCCTGGATGAGGTTTATTTTATTTTTTAAAGAATTAAAAGTTTAGAAATCATCTCTTAAAGAGATACAGATACAGATCTGGACAGATTTGCTACTTGAAGATCAGAAGGAAGTTTTCTTGATTCATAAGACTGAACCAGTAAGTTAAAATTACTCACTGATTGTAAGGTTCCGTGCTAATTTAAGAACAACATTATAAGTACACAATAGACTAGGGTTTGCTACTGCGGGGGTAAGGGAGCCAGGTTATACTCCTGGACCAGGAGTCTGAGTCTCTGAAAGCCCATTGCCAGCAATGGGCAGACAGGGAGCTATTGAGGAAAGGAGATGAAATCTAACCCCCGAGACCTTGCTTTTCCCTATGGACAGGAAGATCCTGAGTGACATGCATCCAAACCAGGCCCTTGCCATTCTCCTGTTCATGGTATCAATGGCTTTCAGTGTAGACACAGTCTGTACGACAGGAAGCACCTCTAGAGAACTCAAACCAAGACATGACACTCCTAGGAAAGAAGCCATCTAATGCTTTAAGGCTAATGAGTTGTGTGTTCTTCTCGTGTTACCCTTCTTGTGAGAGCAATTACAAGAACTCAAGCTGAAGTGGGGGGGAGGGGTTCTTACTTCCTGCATGAAGAAGGTATCTTGTTGGTGCAAAACACTTTGCTAGTGCAATCTGTTGTAAGAACAAGAAGTTAGGAGAGATTGCCACCCCACGACAGAGGCTCAGGAAAGAGATGCTCTTTTGTTCAAGTGCTCCAAGCACAGCCGCATCTTGGTTGCCAAAACCCAGAGTAGACACTTCCATCTGCAAACAAACACTGACATTATTCTGACACAGAAGAGCCTTCCCACAGTCAAAAGAACACACATAAAACTCCGGTTACACAATTCAACAGACACCAGACAGAACCTTCTCGCCCCAGGACTTCAACTCTCTCCGCTCGACATGCACTGCCAGTGGGGAATGCAACGTAACTGCTTAGCACCAAATTAGTGGCTATTCTTTCATGCGCTTCATTTGGCACATTAGAGCTACAAACAGCGCCGTACGAAAATAATCTATAGGTATAAATGCAGCAATTTCAGTGGCTGAAATCAGGGACCAGAGATACTTCTATGGTTGCTACTGTTGTCACCTCAGTTGGCACCATCTCAAGAACTCAACCCAAGCTATTCGCTAGCTCTTACGGGAAGGCACTTTTTCTTGCACTAAACGCTGTCTTCTGCCAACCTCGCTGGTCGAACGTCTTTAGTTAGAAGGGGCCATCAAGACATGACGACTCTCTCCAGTCATCAGCCAGCCACTCAAGTAAGTCCCTCTCATGTCTGATGGAACTATTCACCATCCTCAGACTGTCTTCACAGAGCAGCATTTGGGCATCTCCAGCTATTCATAAGCTTTTGTTAGAATTATTAATAAAAGTCTTGGATCTTCATTTTTCCTCAGATCTGATGAATTATTTGTTCTTTTGATTTTGTTAGTAGAAATGGAGCACACGAAAATGAAAAAAATAGTTCTAATACTTAAATCTTGGCAACTGCAAAGTTGTTGCATTATTTGCTTTTGGGAATAAAAATTACAACATATACAAAAATGTATTTGATACAAAGGAGGGAAATGTAAAAAAGTCAAAGGCACCAGCATAAATCCCAAAGCCCAATAGATACACTTGGTTTTAAGACCACCTACTACATCACACAAGACATCCCTTCTGCCTTGGCCAACACGTCTAGGGAAGGGGGACAGGGAAATGGAAACCGAAAGGAAGATAATGGGGGTCTTTTCAAACATATGCTTCCTTTCTATGTGACCTCCAAAAGCCTGACCCACCACAACTTGCTTCACTGAAATTTGACTCTTAAGCAGTCACAGATCAGAAAGACAGCTGAACTCAACTCTTCCCTCTCTCCCCATACGCTACTGAAAAGTAGATTTCATTGCAAAGTTAGACACAGCTAAATTGTACGGAAGGGGGTAGGGGTAAGATGTACCTTTCACATTTCTGTCACACTTGCTGTTAATCTAGTCATACGGGAGATGGCCAAAGCAGGAAAAGGGGAGAAGAAAGAGATCAGCACATAAAATTAACGCTTCTCTCCAAAAGCTTGAATCTGTCATTCAAGTATTGAAAGTACCCAAGAGGGCACAATGAATGGGAACGGCTATAGCAAAGTCTTCAAAAAACTTAAAACCCCAAGCATGGGAAGCAGGGTTCCTGTGCTGTCTGCAAAAGAGGTGAGAGGCCAGTGATTCCGTCCACAATTCCTTTTGGACCCTAAAAGGGTTTACCTGAAATGAAATGTGCTGACTTTTAGATGTCTTCTGGGCGAGCGTTTTTCCCTTTTGCAGACTTTTTTCAACCCCCCCAAAAAGAGTAACAATTTTCATATATTATAAAGATTTTTAAAAAGACGAAGGCCGTGACAATCTTAGCGGTTACTCTTCATTGCTTCTTTGGCTGCCAGAATCAATGGCGTCAAGCTAGACAGAGGTTTGGCCAGTTTCAGGAAGGGATGCTGCCAGGAACAGAGAAACACAGGACGTTAGGAGGAGTCAAATTTCAAATACAAACTACTGTATTTGCACAGCACTTCCCATCCACGTTGAGAAAGCAATTCACAAAGGTGCCCACTGGCAGCCCCTCTCAGAAACACGCCCAATGAATGGTCCACAGGAGCAGAGATTTGCTCACCACCTTTCCTCTACATCGCAATATCCAATATCCCTGGCTAGCCCCCACCCTCCTTTTTCCAACAACCTCCCTCATACAGAAATATTCTGGTTTTGATGCTTTCCCCATACCCTTCCTGATCTGTGTTCAATGTGCTGGCTACAGCAGCCTCTCTACTTAGCTAAGCTGTGATATCCTGAAGAATCACCAGTAGCAGAAAGCTGCTAGTAGTTCCTGCAGTACAAGAATCACCTACATTTCCATTGCAAACTTTTGATTCCTGTGGTCCCCTCCCACTATTCTCCACTAAATGGTCCTTTAATAGGAAGACAAAGATAAGTGATATCAGCACTTCCCGATCTCTGCATTTCATCCTTATGGGGAGACTTCAATATACAGACGCTAACCTGTAATAGTTCTTTGGCTGATCCTCTTTTCTCCACATCCATCTCCAAACAACGATTTAGAAAATCCCGAAATATTGGGGACAGTTTCTCTGGATTCTGCAGCTCTGGTGTGCCATTAGTTGCTATTAAATACAAAGCCTGCAAACCAAGATAAATTGTTGCACCCAAATCTGTTAAAATTCTAAAACATGTGTTTTATTAGAGAATCTGTTAGAGTTCTTCGAAGGGGTTTACAAACATTCGGACAACGGGGAGCCAGTAGATATAGTATACTTAGATTTTCAGAAAGCCTTTGACAAAGTCCCTCACCAAAGGCTCTTGTGTAAATTACAGTGTCACGGGATAAGAGGAAAGGTCCTTTCATGGACTGAGAACTGGTTAAAAGACAAGAAACAAAGGGTAGGAATAAATGGTAAATTTTCAGAATGGAGAGGGGTAATTAGTGGTGTCCCCCAAGGTTAGTCCTAGGACCAATCCTTTTCAACTTATTCATAAATGATCTAGAGAAAGGGGCAAGCAGTGAGGTAGTAAAGTTTGCGGATGATACTAAACAGTTCAAGATAGTCAAGACAGAAGCAGACTGTGAAGAACTTCATAAAGATCTCACAAAACTAAGTGATTGGGCAACAAAATGGCAAATGAAGTTTAATGTGGATAAGTGTAAAGTAATGCACGTTGGAAAAAATAACCCCAACTATACATATAGCATGATGGGGGCTAATTTGGCTACGACAAATCAGGAAAGAGATCTTGGCGTTATCGTGGATAGTTCTCTGAAAACTTCCACACAGTGCGTGCTGTGGTGGTTAAAAAGGCAAATACAGTAAAACTCCTGTGGTCCGGCATCCAATGGTCTGGCACCATCTGGAACCCAGAAGTGCTCTGGGCAGCCGGACAATTGGAGCTGCTCTGCCCCCGGCTTCCTCAAGTCAGCCGCTGCTGAAACTGACCAGAGGCTGACTTGGGGAAGCTGGGGGCAGAGCAGCTGGGGTCCTTGACTTGAGGACGCCTGGGGCAGAGCAGCTGGGGTGCTGCTGGGCTGGTCCCGCAGCGCCAAGGGGCACATCTCTACTCCACCACAGACCTCTCATAGCCCCCCTCCCCCATAGTCCGGCATATTTGATAATCCGGCACCCCCTGGGTCCTAAAGGTGCCGGATTATTGGAAGTTTACTGTAGAATGTTAGGAATTATTAAGAAAGGGATAGAAAATAAGACACACAATATCCTACTGCCCCTGTATAAAACTTTGGTATGCCCACATCTTGAGTACTGCATACAGATGTGGTCTCCTTACCTCAAAAAAAGATATTTCAGCCTTGGAAAGGGTTCAGAAAAGGGCAACTAAAATGAGTAAGGGTTTGGAACGGGTCCCATATGAAGAGAGGCTAAAGCGACTGGGACTTTTCAGTTTGGAAAAGAGGAAACTGAGGGGGGATATGATAGAGGTCTATAAAATCACTAGTGGTGTGGAGAGGATGAATAAAGAAAAGTTCTTCATTAGTTCCCATAATAGAAGGACTAGAGGACACCAAATGAAGTTAATGGGTAGCAGGTTTAAAACTATTAAGTGAAAGTTCTTCTTCACACAGGACATAGTCAACCTGTGGAACGCCTTGCCAGAGGAGGCTGTGAAGGCTAGGACTATAACAGAGTTTAAAGAGAAGCTACATAAATTCATGGAGGTTAGGTCCATAAAAGGCTGTTAGCCAGGGGGTAGGAATGGTGTCCCTGGCCTCTGTCAGAGGCTGGAGAGGGATGGCAGGAGACAAATCGCTTGATCATTATCTTTAGTCCACCTCCTCTGGGGCACCTGGCGCTGGCCACTGTCGGTAGACAGGATACTGGGCTAGATGAACCTTTGGTCTGACCCTGTACGGCCGTTCTTATGTTCTACACCTTATTCATATTTCAAGTTAGAAGAAGCATATAGCAAAGCACATCTGAGACGAGGAGGAGACAGAGAGCAAACACTAGCATATGACACTTAAGATTCCTTGCTGAATCTTCAGCTTGCGTGCCAGCCATAACAGACCTGACGTAGGTACTGAAAGGTCATTTTTCTTTGTTTTCTATTTTGATCCTGGCTGTTTCATATGGTTCGCACAATGTTCTGCATGAAAATGACAAACATGAATGTGCATGATGGACCTAGGCAGGGTACCTTGTCTGAGCCCTGGAATACTTTGTACCCATTATTCACCACTGATCAAGCTCCTAGAGATGAATACCGGGCAGGTTTCGTTCTGCAAAACAGTATCTATGAGCAGTTTTGGAATCAGAGCAGCTCAAAGAGTTTCCTACCACAAGAACGAGAGGGGGGGCGCTCTGTACGACAAACCGGAAACAGATGAACAGCACATGCACCTGATTTGCTTAAACAGTTGGGCACAACTTCTGTTGGAGGCCATGCAGGAGGCCTGGTCTACACTAAGTTAGGTTGACACAGCTCATTCTGTGGGCACTGTAGCTTTGCTGACCTAACACTACAGTGTAAACACCTAGGTCAACAGATGAATGGCCCTGTCACCCAGGGAGGTATCCGTACGGTGATGGGAGAACTGTTTCCGCTCCAGCGTACCGCAGCAGCCTAACTGCCCCTGTGGCGCCCATGGAGGGAACACAGCCCGAGTCTTCAAGGACAGAAGGCAACTTGCTTCTCCTCACATTGGTAGAAGCGTGTAAGAATGGCACAGCGCCGCTCTGGCAGCTGTTACTTGCTCTTCAGTAACAAGTGACTACAGGTACTTCAGTATGCAGGGTAGTGGCCACTATCAAACCTATCTACATATGCAGGGAGAGAGCATAAGGCTATTTATTGGCATGTGCTTTGCACTTCATTTAACTGACTTTACTGTTCTGAGCCTGGGGAAATGTATTGCTGGGGAAATGTCAATATGCCTCAGACATTCCCTGGAGAGACATCACGCTAGGTGAGAGGGCAAGATCATCCTCCATGTCTATTAGACCATCATCCTTCAATATTGGGGACCACCTGCACTAGTTACCTTGGATTCTTTCATGTAGATTCCTATCCATTAGGAACTGCCCTGACTGTACTAAATGGCCGTCAGCTGATAACCACTGAAACCCTTCTTAGCAGGTTTGGATTCAAGCCCACAGACGGAGCAGTTAAAGATCACAAAACTTTTCCCCACATTTCTGAGTCACTGTTTCACATGCACACTAACGGATGAAATATCTTACCCTCAGAGGGTTTTCATTGAGGTATGGGGGCTCTCCTTCCACCATTTCAATAGCCATGATACCCAGAGACCAGATATCCACTTTAGGGCCATAGGCTTTCCGCGTGACCACCTCTGGAGCCATCCAGTAGGGAGTTCCTACCATGGTGCTGCGCTTGCTCTGCTCTGGGGTGATCTGAGCACAGAAACCGAAGTCGGCTGCGTGATAATAAAGGAATTAGTTAGTAACTATGAATTCAGTGCTCCCATCTCAAAGCCTCAATTGCTGACAAGTTTTTCTATTACTATAGAAACATCTTTTGCATCTGTATCTCTGCAATTTCCAAGTTCTCTATACTTTCTGCGTCACAGCAGAAGTCCAGCCAAACATGGCAGACTAGAGCCTACTTAAAATAAAATCCTACTTCAAGAATTAGGTTATTTTATAAAGGCAATTTGTGGTCTCCCATAAGAGACTGATGTTTTGTCTAATCCCTCTTCAAGCCCCCTAGAACATCTGCAAGGGACCAAAAACAACATGTGGGAACCTGTTGTAGACTTCACACAACAAAGTACAATTCAATGGCCCTGAAACGGAAAGGATGAGACCAGAAAACCCTGCAGCCCCAGTACAAAGAAATGGTTATCGTACAACCAGGTTTCCCTGGACAGAGCCTCTTATTTGAGCCTCTTTTTTTGTTCTAGGCAGGGTTTCCAATGAACTGCAAATGTCCAAGTGTTTGTGCAGCAAAACAGCGGCAACTCCCACTTGATCCACTTGCCAATTGGTCCCTGCCCTGAATCCTCAGCTGATTGGTCCATTCCCCAGGAACCAACAGATGCCAGATCCCAACAGAGAGGTGCTGACTGATGGCTGTCACTGCAAACTGGGCTCACACCAGCTGCCCTGCCCCCATGACAGGGAACAACCCTCCCTCCGCCTCCAGCAGGTACCTCCCCTGCCCCCTGGCAGTGCCTTCTGATGGGGAACCTGAAGTATGATGACCCTACAAATATGAGTTTGGTATTTATTTCTGTGCTCACCAACGTCAGTATTTTACAAAGGGTTTAGCTACGGAATCACTGGACTGTATAAAACAGAGGTCTAGAAGTAAAGCTTTAGATATAGGACGTGACCGTGAAGTATATTCAATAGGAACAAGCTGAGAGGAACAAAGTCATCATGTAGACAAGGACACAACAGCTGCCTGGCTACATAATAAGTGTTGCCAAATGCACCATGTAAAACTGAACACAAAAAATATTTCCCTAATGTTATTTTTACCTTCATAATTACTTTTTAACACTAGTTTTTTTTTTTTTTTTTTAAATCAGGCGAATGCTATGTCCAGCCCAATAGGACCATATCTGGTTTGCAGCCTTTAGGCAGTACTGAGACATAAATATGCAATTTTCATCCTGCCAATTAAATGGGCAATGAAAAAGCATTTGGAGCAAGTTCGGACAATCGGAAAGAAGCCAATAAGACAGCTCCCATTAGTACCAGCTCCCATCACTGCAATGCTTGCATCTTTCTCTCATTTTATATTGCACAGTAGCTCACATTTACAGGCACAGCCATGTGGTAACAAGTTACTTCCACATCTTCCCCTTTTACACACCCCAACTCAGTAAATTTCAGATGCGCAGAATTACAAAACCAACTATAGAAGGTAAAATTCCTTTTGCAAAGTGGAATGAATTCTATTGCTGATTTTTTTTAAATTCCTCCAACACACCTGTGGGAACTGTGTACTTACAAACATATTATTCATTTCAAAATATACTGAAAAGCAGCAGGAGGTTGAAACAATTGGCACTCACTGAGTTTAACTGATCCGTCCATTCCTAAGAGCACATTGTCACTCTTGATATCTCTGTGGATTACCTGGTTGGCATGTAGGAACTCTAGTGCTTGCAAACACTGTTCAGGGCAGATGGAAAAGAAAAAAAAGCCAATACAGTTTGTGTATAGAGAATCCAAAAGCAAAGTTTATGTGCACATAACACAGTATGTAAAACGGTAATGGGTTTAAATAACCAGCAGAGAGCAAGTTCTTTTGTGATGAGAAACAAGACTATTGTCATCCAAAGTTCACTAAGGCCAAAAGTTGCTTCTTTAACCACAGAGAATACACTATTTCCTGCTCATTACAGACTTGCAAAATGAACGAAAATGCTCACCAGCCAGGCATCATCCAAGACTCCCCAAACCTCCCAAGTACTGTCATTTTGCTATATGTTAGTTTTACAGCTTTCCTGGGGTGGGGATTCCTGACCCACTTCTGAGATCAGTTTCTTTGGGTCGAGTGTCACTATAAGGAGAATGCTTCACTCAAATACAAAAATCTGTGTTTTTACATAATTCTAGCACTCTCAATAAATTACTTAGGCTGAAATTTTCCATGTGAGGTTCATTCCATGTGAGGTTCAATTTTCTTATAAGTCATTATTTGAAGAAAATCTCTCTAGCTGTTTGTGTTCAGCAATGGTGAAAAACTTCATTTTTCCACATTGTAAAATATATAAATCCACTTTTAGAAGGCTATATACAACCAGATTAGCTGGATTTGAAATATGCCACAAACTAATCCCTATTGAGAATTAATACACATTGGCTGTGTGTACATTGGCACCCTTTTCCGGAAAAGGGACGCTAATGAGACAAGTCGGAATTGCTTTAAGACAAGTCGGAAAGGCTTTATTTTCCGAAAGATCCCGTCTAGACTGGCGCTTTTCTCCGGCAAAGCCCCGAGCCGGAAAAAAGTGGCAGCCGTGTTCATGCAAATGCCGCGGGGATATTTAAATCCCCCGCGGATTTGCAATTCCGACTTGTCTCATTAGCATCCCTTTTCCGGAAAAGGGTGCCAATGTAGACCCAGCCTTTAGTTTAGAAAAATGGTTCTGATTTGCCAGTCATGAGTATTTGGAATTTACATCCTGGACAGAAGAATTATTGGTTAAATCAAATGTCATGCAGAGTTTTAAGTAAATTTTAATTTTAAACTCATTCATAGGGAGCTAATTAAATGCAGAGTTTTTTAATTTCCATTTATTGTAGCAACTGGAGACAACTGAACTTTTTATTCGGTATCTAGACAGATATTTTAAAACCACTGTTTTCTTCCAAGTTGGCTTGTTTTTAAGACTCTTAATAAGACATAGAAATTAAGCCAAATTTGAAGTCAGCAGCTAAAAGTTTCTGCTCACTTTTCTCTTAGATTTATTCAAAATCAAAAGCAGTTAGGAATAATGCCAGACTCTGAAAAGCTCTAGCTTAGGTGAGTTCAGCAAGATCCAAATGTTGCTGATTTAACACATTCATAATCTTAAAATTTGACTTGATTTTACTTCTCGAAATCTACAAATGTTTCCTGAACTTACATGACTTTTAGAGTGACTTGAATATTGCCCTTTCCCTGAAGAATGAGTCTCTTAATACTTCACGCAGTGACTAGCCTCCAGCTCCCTTGATAGGCCCTCAAATGTCCCCATTTATTACATTTTGGACTTTTTAATTTGTTTGCTTTTAATTTAAGTTATTTAAATCCTTAAAAATTCTCAAAGCATCTGAAATTATATAAAACTTTAGATTACTTTAAGATGATGATGGCAATCCAGAGTGCTTTAGACTTAATTTAGGTTTAAGTTACCGGTATGGTTTTAATGCCACCCCTAGAGATTTGAGTTAAAACAAAAAATGAATTCCACCTTGGAAGTGTGCATTGAAAGCATTTTATATACTGCAACTGGAAAAGAAAACTGAGTTTTATTCCGAAATGGCCTTTCTGAAAATTCTCAGGTGAAATCAGGGAAGTGTGCTTTGGAGCATGGGTTATTTCTTTCTAAATATTTGTCCATCTCCAGTCATGGACAGACTCTCTAGGTACTGCAGCAATATGATCATCATAAAGAAACTGGAGAGGCCAAAAAAAATTGAAGAGAAACTAATTAGGCCAAAAGATTCCTGGAAATTAAAATGCAATAGTTAAAAAGCAGATGGCCAACTGGAAA